TAAGACCAACTCAATACAATTCTACGTCTTCGTTCTTGATCCTTAGTTCTTGGTTCTCAAATCATCATGCCATGTTCCTTCGCTTTGGTTTTGCTCACTTTAGCTTTGTTATTGTCGGCGATTTGGCATTATCAAAACGTGTCATAAAACGAACACGGTTTAGTACGACGTAGGCGTAACCCGTGTTCCAACAGAACCGCACTCCTGGAGTTGGTGACTACGAGTAGGAAATGAGGAAAATGAATCCGTCCTCCAAACCTTGCCATTCCAGCACGAGTGGCAGCAGCGTAGCAGAGATGGCAGCACTTAAAGACCAAAATCAAAGGCTACAGGAACAAATTGATTATCTAACCTCGAGCTTGTCGCTGACGATTCAGGAGGAGATAAGGAAGTTATATGGTGGTAACCTTCCTCCATGAGGCAATGAATGTTAATTTATTGTGTTCTTGTTGGTGCTCTTGCTATTCTTGACGCTATTATTATTACGTTGTTATTGTGTGTTATTACCTATCATATATTGCAGGCTTAATTCTTCGAACTGCGCGAGGAGGCTAGACAAAAAGAGCTTAAAGTCACCGACCAAAAAATATGGTACTTGCTAGCTGAGGGCCATAACGCAAAGAACCGCGTTCTTGGAGTTGGTGACTACGAGCAGCACTTAAAGAGCAAAATCAAAGGCAACAAATAGATTATCTAACCTCAAGCTTGTCGCTGACGATTCAGGAGGAGATAAGGAAGTTATATGGTGGTAACCTTCCTCCACGAGGCGATGAATGTTAAGTTCTTGTGTTGTTGTTGTTGTTCTTGTTGTTGTTCTTGCTATTTTTGACGCTATTATTATTACATTGTTATTGTGTGTTATTAACTATCATATATTGCAGGCCTAATTCTTCAAACTATGCGAGGAGGCTAGACAGAAAGGGCTTAAAGTCATCAACCAAGAAATATGGTACTCGCTAGTCAAGGGCCATAACGCGAAGAACCGCGTACTAGGAGTTGGTGACTACGAGCAGGAAATGAGGAAGATGAATCCGTCCTCCAAACCTCGTCGTTCCAGCACGAGTAGCAGCAGCGTAGCGGAGATGACAGAACTTAAAGAGCAAAGTCAAAGGCTGTAGGAACAAATTGATTATCTAACCTTGAGCTTGTCGCTGACGATTCAGGAGGAGATAAGGAAGTTATATGGTGGTAACCTTCCTCCACGAGGCGATGATGATGGAACAGGAGGGGTAGGGCAGCCCGGGATTTGTTGACACCTTTACGACCTTAGCTTTCCTCCATTTTCAACATTTGATACTAACACTTTAATATTAAGTATTTTTACAATATAATGAATTATGTTACATTTGCATGTGAAGTTTTCATTAATCTAGCTTTGAATTATCTATTTCGTATTAAAATCTTCTTTAGAATTATGTGTGTGAAAATTGAATGTGTTTGCCCCCCATTTTAATAGCTACTGCCTAAAAACAGCAAAAATAGGTTTCTTTGATCAAGTGGTCTGGGACGACATAGTCCGTCGCTAGGTTTTTCACAGATCACCGACGGCTAACTCCGTCGCTATGTCCGTCACAAATCTGCGACGGTTCAAAGCATTCCATCGCAGAGTTTTTGGGCTACAAAAATGGGCAAACCCGTTGTAGGTCCGTCGCAGATCTACCACGGACTTTTAATTCCATCGCAGGTTTTAAATCTGCAAAACTTTTCTACGACGGAAACATTTCGTTGCAGATTCATCGTAGAAACTAAATCTGCCACGGAATTTCAAATTCTGTAACGGAATTTGTCCGTGGTAGATCGGTAGTTTTCTTGTAGTGGTATTGACAATGTCTTATCTTTCCCCTTTAGGAATGACGGGTAAAATTTTCCAAAAAGCTCCTCCAAACACAATGGTTTTCCCTCCAAATGGCCACTCATTATTTAATGCATTAACAACGCACATTACATCGTGTAGACTTCTATATAGAGCTTCGAAACCGTCCTTATGGTCATTAGTGCCTCGTCCCAAATAATAAGTTGCGTTCTAACTAATAAATCTGCCAAAGGTGTTCCTTGGTTTTTTTATAGGTGGAATTTTCATGAGGAATAATTGGAATTCCAAATCCCAAGTGTGTAGTTCTTCCACCAAGCAGCAATAATGAAGCAATACCACTTGATGCAATATTTAACACAATTTCTCCTTTCGAACGAAGGGAAGCGGACAAAGTTTTTGACACAAACGTCTTTCCAGTTCCGCAATAACCATATAAGAAAAAAACTTTCCCCTCATCCAACTCGAGGGAAACCATTACACTTTCAGAAGTTGTACGTTGTTTGCTATTCAACAATGCCATACATTTTTTGTGTTCAGCTACCATTGCAACGTGGTCATATTGTAGCTCATCAAGGATTAGTCTGTTGCGGGTGTTGACGCGTTGTCTAAAATAGGGAAAGGCATATCAATGAAGTCTTGAGGACTTTTGGCATCCATTATAAGCAACATTTGAATCTCAATCAAGGCGTAATTCTTGAATTGATCCTCGGTTAATATCAAACCTACACATTGAAGAGTAAAAGTATTTATGAAAACATGATTTATGTATCGAACTTGTAATTATAGTTAAACGGTACCTTGATGACTTAGAAGACAACGTTGGTGATGTAGAATATCATCGGCCATGAATTCCCATACATGTTTTGGTCTAGACATTGAATCGTTTGTGAGAAGTGTTATGAATAAAAACCTCACTTGATTGGCAGAACACTACCCACTTGCTTCTTTGAAACCATCTATATACTCCCTATCATCATCTAGCAATCCCATAGCATAACATGCATCGCGGGAAGTGTTAAGAACAACACCATTCACAGTTTTTAGATCTTCGTATGATGTTGGTCCTCAAACTATGTTCAAAAGTATTCTCATATAAGAAGATTCTCCATACCCTAGAGGAACATAGATAACACAGCCTATAGCAAAACCTTTTATTCGGGGTTCGTTCTCTCTTTTATCAGGCTTTCAAACAAACTTTCGAGAGAACTCGGCATACGTTAAAGTCTTTGACAAAGGAAATCTTTCATTTTCTTTCATCCAAGCAAGAAATTTACTCTGTCGTATTCTTTCTTGAGTATAAACATCACTTGCATCATCGTCGTCTTCAAAAAATATCCACTACTCACCAGGTAAGTGAAAGCTTAAGCGTTCAATAGTTGGAAATTTATATTGAATTGAGAATCCAAATATTCTCCACGTTGCCTCACAAGGATAAATATATCTGCAATCGTAATACATTTTAATTTCATTTGCCTTTTCTAACTTGATGTGCTAGACGTATCTGTGCTTGTATAAAATCCAGCAGTGATGCGGGTGTGTCCTTTGTTTATGTACTTGAATAATTACTTTATAGAATGCGATTGATTGCACCATTCTACGTTTAAGTGATCCCCATGCTTCAGCAAAAGATATCGATAATGGGGCACTACGAACCTATTATCTAACTGAACACTATGTTAGTTGATTTATTCGTTGTGCCCACGCCTTAGAGGGGGGTGAATAAGGCGTTTAAAAACTTTTCGAAGTTTAATAAAAACGGTGTTGACAAATGCGGAAGCAATATATAAAACGCAAAAGTAAAAGCGTAAAGTAAATGCACACCGATTTTATACTGGTTCGGGAACTCCCTACTCGAGTACTTGAAGGCTCCTCCTTAAGGATTTTTCGAAAATATTTACCAAATGTATTTTAAAATTAATACCCAAGTAAAAATCTTTTTTTGTGTGTGTGCAAATTTTAGCTTGAGCTTAGAGATATATCATTCAAATATCTTTAACAATAAATGACTCTAAGCTATTCTATGCTAGTCCTGTGTGAGCGAACGTATTGACGCAATCAACGCGTTTTAGTGGATTTTGTCGTTCCTACACAATTGAACAAACGTTAGCTCAATTAAATTATTTGTTAACATCAAAACATGAGATTAAGCATACCAAGGCTAACAATTTCCCCCTTTTTGATGTTGACAAATAATTTTCTTCAAAGTGAGATTTAGGTAGGAGTGGATTCATGCAAGCTCCCCCTAAAACATAGCATTTTTTTTTAAAAAAAATTCTCACTTTGTATTTTCCATGTGTTTATGAAGAATTGATGATCAATTAATATGTATAAAACACATAAAAATTTTGAGAGAAAAAAAATGTCACTTTGAAGTACACATATTTCTCCCCCTATTTGTCAAGAGCAAAAAGGATTGATAAAAGTGTAGAGTTTCTTCAAAAGCCCTTCCCCTATTTGTGCCATATTTTAGTTTTCCTCTTAGCATACCAAGGCTAAGAATTTCCTTTTTTATGATTCTTAGATTTCATGCACTCTAGCAGAACCTGTTAATGATTTTGATACTAAATTTAAAAATATTCAAGATAGTCAATGAAGGCAATTTCACATTAAGCACAAAGGCATAAAAAAATACCAAAGTTTTAACATATTGTGCAAAATAAGAGTATATGAAATTTAATAATAATAATAATCATCAACATTTGCCATGTTGTCAATGTCATCATCATCATCATAACCATCAACGTTCACATGTGAGGAGGAGGGATTTCCGTATTCAAATGTGGATGAGGGATTCATCGGAGGAAATGAGCTTACGCTATGACGATGTTCGGCTAGGCTTTCCCGAATCCCTTTTTGCAAATTTTCCTCGTTGATTCTTTCGGGGTCTTCTTCAACAACTTCCTCAATGATTGGTCCTTTGGATTTCTTCTTTGCTCTTCTCTTTTCTCCCGAAGAAGAAGACGTGGACGACGGAGATTTAGGCCTACCAATCCATTTTCTCATTTTGTCAAAGATTTTCTTTGTCACGGACTTGGTGACCTTCTTTGTGATGCTTTCCTCCATTTGGCCTATCTTCTCATCCATGTACTTCTTCAAGGAAGGATCAATTTTTGCATGTGTAGAACGGGAGCGAGGCATGGAAGAAGTACGTGGAGGAACTTCAACGCTTGGACGGGGATTTGAAGAGGAAGAACTTGCAAATTTACTTAAGTTATGCTCACGTCTCCATCGGTTTCTCTCTTCTACCGAAATTTGGTTGTAGGAAGCTTCGGTGTGAAATCCGTCAAAGTGTTGAAAGATCTTTGACTGTCGAAGACTTGTGGCATTCATCTTCTTTTACTCATAGTTCCTTCCTTGGTATTTTTCAAGCTTGATTTTGGCCCTTCGGAACACTTTGGTCAACGCCATTCCATATGGAAGTTGTCCATAACCCTTGTGAATCCACATATGGTTCATCATCATCATAGGGAACCTAACAAGGGATTCCACTTCCAAGAGATAGACAATGGCACACTCGAGCATACCAACAATGGAGTCGTTGCTTCCGGTAGGCAAAAGACATTCTTTTAAGATTTTCAAAAGAATTTGTTGATTAACATTCAAAAATTCTCTTTTAGGCCTAACAATTCCGGAATATTCAACTCCATTGTGTATCTTATCAATACAACTAGCTAGATTATCACCCTTGATGCCCCAACCATGCCTATCATACGTCTCAAATCCATCACGGTTATCAACAATAACAAAAGATTCACAAATTTCCTCAATTCCAAGATTTATAGTTTTGTTCTTAACCCTAGATTTGAGAAAAGGAGTTTCTTCTTCATCTTCATTGACCTTAGTTTCCCACGAGAGATTATCATAGAATTCATACACAAGCTCATCATACACCAATTCATCTATTGCAACAAAGCCTAGCAACCCTTGAAGCGTAAGAACCGAGATAATGAATTGGGGGAAATCCGGTAGGTTTAGAATTTTACCTGGAGCAATTGTTCTCTTGTTGGTGTCCTTTTTGGGAGCCATGGAAGGTGAGTTCTTGAAGCTTGGATTCCTTGATTTCTTGAAAGATTGAGAGAGAGAGCCGAAAATGAAGAATTTCAGGCGTTGGACGGAAGAGACGAAGTGAGCCGCGGTTGGGTAGATCTAAAAGAATAGGGTTTTGACCGTTTAAATAGACATCGATGGTTGAGGTGATGGACCGTTGCCTTCCGAGGGTCGACCGTTCGATTGGCAGTCTTCTGGACCAGGTAGTGACGGTTGATGCGTTGGACCGTCCATATCCCACGGGCTACCGTGATTATGACAGATTTGGGATCAAAAGTGAATTGCTACAGACGGTCGATGCGTTGGACCGTTGGTTTCCCACGGTCGACCGTTCGGCGATGCCTTGTCTGACCTCCTGTTATGCACGACCTAAGGTCCTTACGATGGACCGTTTCTTACTGCGGTCGACCGTTACGTTTCCAGTAACCTTCGATTTTTTATGTCCTCTAATCCTCTTTTTGTGAATTTTTATGATGATGATGATGATGTGATATTGACAAACATGATTTTGAGTGTATTAATTATATTAAGGATAAATGAGACTTACCTTGGTTTATGTCGCTCTTTCTTCGGCTTTGAATATGTTTCTTTGCGCTTCACATATTTTTTCCATTTGAGTAAATCTGTATACTTCATTCTCATTGCCTTCTCTTCATCTTCTTCATCATTTGACTCTTCCGTAGAGCTTGAGTCACTTGAATTATCACTTGACTCACTTAACTCTTCACTTGATGAGTCCTTTGAAGCTTTGAAGGCATTCGTAAGCTTCGGATTTTCACGCATTTCTTCCTCTTTGATCTTTTTCAACAAAAGCTCGTGAGAATACAAGGAAGACCAAATGTGGGCGGTTTCGGCCTTATCACATTTGGATAATAAATCCACTATACTACTATGCCATTCTTTAGGTAAAGAAAATAGAATTTTCGTATTAAGCTCGGAAATAGTATACGTCTTACCCAACTTACTCAATTTGTTGACAATCTCGTTGAACCTCTTATTTATGTCTTGGATTGTCTCACATGACCCTTTCTTGAAAGATTCGTATTCCGAATTCCCAAGGGCTAGCATGGTTTGTTTTGTTGAGGTGTCTCCTTCATGTGTAGCTTGGAGTAGATCCCACACCTCTTTAGCCATTTTGCAAGAGCAAACACGTGCGAATTCGTCGGGACCAAGAGAGCAATGCAAAATGTTAATTGCTTTTGCATTCATTGATAGCTTTCTCTTGTCTTCCGAAGACAAACCTGCAAAATCACCATTACTCGGCACAAATGGCCCGTGAAGTATATTCAACCATAAATTAAAATCAATTGATTGAATAAAATATTCCATCCGCATTTTCCAATAGGAATAGTTTTGGCCATTGAAAAACGGAGGGCGGTGAAGGCTTTGGGAATCCATTTGAGCCATTTTTCAATAAATTTGAATTTTAAAAAATTAGGGAAAATAAAATTTTGAGATTTAAAAATTCAAATTTAAAAAGGGACACAACAAGTGGATCTTTGTTGTAGATGCGGTTAAGCACTTTTAACTACGAAACTGCTCTGATACCAATTGTTAGTCGATTTATTCGTTGTGCCCACGCCTTAGAGGGGGGTGAATAAGGCGTTTAAAAACTTTTCGGAGTTTAATAAAAATGGTGTTGACAAATGCGGAAGCAATATATAAAACGCAAAAGTAAAAGCGTAAAGTAAATACACACCGATTTTATACTGGTTCGAGAACTCCCTACTCCAGTACCTTAAGGCTCCTCCTTAAGGATATTCAATCCACTAGAACGCCTTGACCGTCTTAATATGATCGTCACGAGGGAACCAGTCTTTGGCAAACAAACCTTTGCCAATAGGTTTACACTAGATCGACAATACTTCACGCCTTGAAGTATCCAACTAGCTTGAGGATTTTCCAACGGCTATCCCCAACCGTGCACCGAAGATTTGCAGGATGTCTTCAACCTAGAGATTTGCAACGGCTATCTCCAACCGTCTCAACAAGGATTTCACGGATGTCCTTGACTGCTTCCGGAGATTTCACCACGGCTATCTCCAACCGTCTCAATGAAGATTTTACAACGGATATCTTCAACGTATTACAAGGGTATGATAATTTGAATAAATCAACACCACCTCAAGAATATGAAATACAAGATTGGGTTGGTGTGATGATTTCTATACACTCTAACAATTACAACTCTCTTATAGATAATATGAGTGTATATCTCTTTTGAATCAAGCTCAATGTGTGTTCAAGAAAATATATTGAAGAAATGGCTCTTTAATAGCCTAATAAAAATCAGAGATTTTTATGAACACAAGAAGAAAGAATTAAGAGATTTTAGCAAGGCTTGATCGATTAAAAACATTGAAATGGTTTGGGTATTTATAGGGATGGATTAGGAGTTGTTTGAAATTGAAAAATAGCTGTTAGAGAAGAATAATTAACTCCTAATACCATAATTAAAATAATCCAACCATTGGGTGTGAAAAAGACAAGAATTAAAGAATCTGGTCTCCGAACGATCCATTACATCGACTGTTTTAGTCCAAACGGTCGACCGTTCGGGGTAACGTTCAGATTCCTCCAACGGTCAGTAGGACGGTTGACCGTCTACGTGTAACGGTTCACCACATCGACCGTTCGTTACTGAGTGCGCAATTTTGAAATAATTTTGGTAAAATGTTAATAACTTTTTCAATACTAATCAGAATTTAGTAATTCAAGAAACGGCGATCTAGTATTGAGAAGAGTTATAACTTTAGTTAAATATTTTGAAAAAAATATATTTTTCGAAAATATTTACCAAATGTATTTTAAAATTAATAACCAAGTAAAAATCTTTTTTTTGTGTGTGTGCAAATTTTAGCTTGAGCTTAGAGATATATCATTCAAATATCTTTAACAATAAATGACTCTAAGCTATTCTATGCTAGTCCTGTGTGAGCGAACGTATTGACGCAATCAACGCATTTTAGTGGATTTTGTCGTTCCTACACAATTGAACAAACGTTAGCTCAATTAAATTATTTGTTAACATCAAAACATGAGATTAAGCATACCAAGGCTAACGCACTATTCTTTAATATTGTTCGTCCATCATTTCCTCTCCTATATTTAGGATATCCATCCTTGGCAATGATGGTTTCCTCATTGAATAGTTTCAGAAAATATTTGAAACATTTCACATCTTTAATGCAAGGAGATTTTGGTCCGTTTGTGCCACATGGTCCATGAATCATAAAATCTTGAACCACATTGAAATATCCTTAATCATTCACTTCATCCGGCAACTCCGCAAAAATTATTTGATCAATATCTCTTGGTATAGGAAATTTATCTTCGTGTCCCAAAAATAGTAATATGTGGTCATGCGGTAGACTACGTTTCTATAATTCAATAGTGTAAACAATTGTATAAAGGAAAAGTGTATATTAGAAGTTTTCAATGGGAATAAAGATGTTGAAATTACATAATTGGTTTCATTTAGTCTAGAAGAAGGATCGTTAAGAAACACTTACTTGCTCTAATTTTGCCAAATATTTGATTCTTCTTTAAATCTGGTATCAAATCATTTTGTTTGATGTTAAAAACTCTTAAAGCAATATCAGGACGATCTTCTGGGTTTAAATGACGACTACGCACGAAGCGATCAATTTCTAGCCATTTTGGATTACACGTGAATGTAAGAAAGAGATATGGATACCCTGTCCACCGACATATTGCCATAGCATCTTGGTAGCTTTGGATCATGTTACGCGCACCTCCAACAAATGTTGCGAGTACCAAAGTTCTTTTTCCATTGGTGGTCGTGTCATTGTAACCATTTACCAAGGAATCCCAGAATTTATTATACATCTCACAACGAAGTTTTTTGGTGTTTGCTAATATACGTCAATCTCGATGACTCAACCATTGTGTATCCATCAACACATAACTCTTGAAATAAACGACATGAATGTAAAATTAAAGAACTCTCTGCATCCCTTTCATTTAAACGATATGAAAGAAATTCTTGAATACTCACACTCCTGCTTCCTCTAACTTTCAAAAAAGTTTTCTCAACAAAGGGTATGTCTTCACGATAACCATCATCACTGTATGGGAATAATAAGGGATATTGTAGACTTGAATAAGATGGATTTAATTCAATTATCCTTTTCAATGGTCCACTTCTTGTTTGTACCAATATATCCTTCTCACCCAAAGCTTGATCTAAATCGCCAATAACTAAAACTGCTACCTCAGAAACTGATGGTAAGTTGTACAATCTAGGATCAGAATTTCTCTTGCCAATCAGCTTCAGAGTCATATTGAATCCTAATGCTTTAGTTATTTTCTCCCCAATCATTCGAAATGATCTCACTAAGACATTGTGAGTGTCTAACATTTCCCTAATCTTTGCAACAATCTCGACATGTAGAGAGTTAACATTTTCTTCTTTCCTATATGTAAATGATGAAGGAAAAATTAATATTTAACAGTGAAGTTCTCATGTATGTGTTTTTAAAGAATGTAGTGTATTTAGCTACTCCTAAATAAATCCAAGTACGATAATGTAAGTGTATACCTCACAGAGTGGATTCTATTGAAATCTTCATTTTGCGTGTCGTAAATATATCGTTGAGGGAATTTAGGAACTATTCCATCAAGGGGTACCAGGCTGCCAATTTGATGAAAATTTTGCCCTCCTAGCTTAAACGTTGGTGGACCTCTACCACGGGTAGAATCTCTAATAATCTTGCCACCCAGAGATGTGAAAGAGGAGATGCAATTATAATAGCAAATATTTGTTTGGAAATGCTTACTCTCAACATCTGTCCCAATAAGCATGTCCTTTAGAGGCATTGGTGGTTCCTTGATTGGGGCCAGTTTGATGTTTTCGTGTTTACAAAACATTGAATATTTTGGGTTGTTCTTCGATGATTGACTAATTAGTCATTTTCAAGCCAAAAGAAAGCATTAGAATTTTTACATTTGTAAAGACAATCACCAACGTACCAATAATCTACATTGTATAGTGTTTCTACGCGAAGCACTAACTCGATGATGAGAGCTAAAATCTTCCGCATTGATGAAATCCATTTCCAAATCTCTAACAACATCTAAATGAGTCTCGTGAATATCTTCAATATGATTATTAGAATCTACACCCCAAGTTTGGGTGATAAAAATGTCAATTAGTGGATCAAGATTCTGTGAGGAAATGTTGTCTTCGTTCACTATTTGTAGTTTAAACAGAAATGGTTAAAGAATACCAAAAATATATTATATAAATATAGATTATTATGTACTAGAATTAGTAAATAAGAAAAAAAGTTTGAATAATAAATTTGACACACACCTTCCACAACATATTTTTCTTTTTTATACCAAAATTAACTTGTGTAAGACAACTTTGAAGCTGAGATGTGTCCCAGATAAAAGAGTTTAGTGCTGATGAATTTGCATGACTTGATGGAGTCGATGGTAAGCGATCAAAAGGCATTGAAACATTAACTACAAAATTAACAGTTTATAAAATGAATAGAATATAAACTAACAATTTCATAATACATATAAGAAAGATTGAATGGAAATACCATTCATTAAGTTCGATAATGGTGATGGAGTCTACAAATCTTGCATTGATGATGTTTTGAGTGGATGAGATTGCAAAACAGACTTTGTCCTCAAATTTAATCTAACAAAACTCGTTGAAGTGGAATTATCTTTCGAAACATTGGATCTTCCATTTTATATGCAAATCATTTTCAAGATATGTTATAATTTAAAATATTTAAGTGCATATTTATGATGTTTCACTTAAATAGCTAAGAATAAAAAGGAATATAGTAGTAAGACATACAATGATATATTTATTAATAGGTAATGTTCTGAATTTGGAATTCCATAACAAA